AAAAAAAAAAAAAAAAAAAAAAAAAAAAAAAAAAAAAAAAAAAAAAAAAAAAAAAAAAAAAAAAAAAAAAAAAAAAAAGTTGTTTCAACTTTCAGATTAATTCTGAAAATTCAGTGAAAAAGAAATCCTGCACTCCTGAAGTGTTCTGACTAATTAAGAGTTTGATGCAAACACAAGATTCTATGAAAACTTCTTTTAAAAGAGAATACACTTTAGAAAAGCATTTTAGCACTAACAAGGTAAAAACTATATACACTAAGATCACAACTTCAAAATTGTTTCCAAAAGTAGATAATCTAATCTAGAAATTGGAATGTATTTTTCCAATCGAACAATGCTATAAAACTGTGGTAAGCTCTCCAGAAAAGATGTAGAAACACCCTGCTTACTAGAAAAATTTCTTTTAGTATACCATGTATCAGCAATGAAAAATAACTAAAAACAATGCTGTTGTAATACTGGTAACAAGGGGAAAAAGGGAATATATGTAATTCTAAGACCACAACTGCATCTCCTTTAAGAAACAGAATATATGAATCACTCAAAGAGAATGCAACTAAAGATTAACCAAAATTCTTGGTATGAAAATTCAAAAAGATGGTGTTGGACAGGAGTCAAAAAGTCTTAAAGCCAAGTTTTCATTGACCAAAAGATCACTCACTATCTCTGCTTGGAGGAGTACAGGTTAAGTTGGGCTGGTTCCACCTGGAAAGCAAAAGACACAGAGAGTTAATCGCAAAAACAAAACAAACAAACAAACAAAAAAACCCCGCAGCACGAAGAAGTAAAATCAAGCAGAACTGAAAGGTAAATCTGTGCACCTGGAGAACAAGGCGTCCATCCTTAGCTCCAGAGGCCTGCGTAGTTCCCATGGAGGCCTGCAGGGAGGGGTCCCCCACCCACAAAGAGCTTCATCTCCGGCCAGTTGTAGCAGTGGGTGTACAGCGCACTGGGCAACTCTTCCATGCCACCAAAGTAATTCACCCAGAAATCATCGTGGTTGAGCCAGCCTCTGCCACAGTCGAGCTTGAGCTTCTTCCCTGCAGGTTCCGGAGTGGAGTCGAGGCTCGTGGAAGCTCTCTCCTCCAGGAACTTCTGGGCGCGGATGTCATAGAAGAGCAGGGAGCCATGGCCGGTGCCCACAGTGATCAGATGGCGGTAGAAGCTCAGCGACCGCACGCCCGTGCCACCCTCTCGAGAGCACAGGGGCCGGATGTTGTGCTGGCGCTGGCGTGGATCCAGGAAGGACACGTGGGACTGAGATCCCACAGCGTACACGGACAATTCATCGCAGTAGGTCAGGCATACATTCTCTCGGCAGTAGGGCAGCCTGATGGACAGCAGCCTGGATAGTGTGCTCCGGGCTTTCCACAGGTGGAAGTAGCCATCCAAGGACACCGCTCCCAGCTCCTGGTTTTTGCCGCTGAAGGCCAGGGCCCGCACCTTGCGGTTGCCCGGGTTGGTGCTGACCCTGGGGATGGTTTGCACATCCCTAGGACGAATGTGGGCATATATGGGGAGACCCACCTCACTGTGCCAGGCAATGCTGCCATGGAACATGTCCGGGTCCATCCGCCACAGCGCCACGGTGCCGTCGCGGGAGCCGCTCACAGCCACGGTGTCACTCAGCCAGGCGATGGCAAAGATCCAGTCCTTGTGGCCATGGCGGTCGCCCAGGCACAGGGGATCCAGGGTGGGCAGCCGGTAGATGGCCAGGCTGTTGGGGTTTTCGCCGCCAGTGGCTAGAAGCGTCTTGGAGGGATTCAGCTCGATGGCATGGATGCCGCAGCCATGATGGGCCGGGGCCAGGCCGGCATCCTTGTCCCGCATGAGGGGGATGCGTGTGATGTGGCCCGACTGCACGTCCACCACGAAGAACGTGTTACACTTGGTGCCGCACACCACCTGCCTGGAGTTCAGCCACTGAGACGCGAACACCTTGTTGAGGGTGCCCAGGTCTAGCTGGCGCTCCGTCAGCAGCTCGGGCAGCCTCTGTACCGCGTAGCCCCGCAGCTCGCTCTCGAAGCCCTGGAGCCCCGCTGCGCCCCGGGCGCCTACCTCCCGGCCCTTCAGATAGTGCACCAGCCAGCGACGCGTCGCCGGCCGCCTCTGCTTCTTAGGTAGTAGCGGCCCCTCTCCGTCCGCCGCCGCCAAGCCCTGCGACGAGGAGCTCCCGGCGCCGGCCTCGATAGCCGGCGCTTTCCGTTTCCTGCTACCTGTTTGCTGCTGGGCCATGGTGGGCGGCGGGCGAGCGGCGGCAGCACTGCTTTGGTGGCGGCGGCGCGTGGCTCTCCTGTTGGCCTTGACGGCGGCGTGGATGGCTGCGCTTCCGCGTCAGCCCGGACCGCGGGGTCTCTAAGGCTGAGGTTGGGGTGTCCGCTGGCACGGAGCCTTCAGGGTCGGAGGCGCTGCAGCGGCGGACCGGCGAGGGACGCGCGGACTAGGGCGGCGGTAGGGGTGCAGACCTAGGCGAGGGCGGGAAGTGCGCCTGGCTGGGCCGGCAGAGAGCAAAGTCAGTGTGGGGCGAGATCGACGCGGGGGGTCGAGTGGGAGGGGCGGAAGCAGTGGGAGGAGCCGGCGAGCGGGCAAGCGGGAGTGAGGGCGTGGGGTGTAGCTGAGGCCAGGCGGGGTGAAGTCTGGGAGGGGTGGGGA